CTTTGAAACTGGAAATTATGTATTAAGGTTCAGTTCATCATTTCCTCAAAAAACTATTTACCCTTTTTACTCTTAAAATTCATCAAAAATAAATTTCTTCTTTCAAAACAATTCATTCACTAAGCAGAAAGGTAATGACAGTGAGGCTAAGAGAAAGAATAAAACATTAGAAACTACCGATAAATCCTCGAAAAAATTTGGAAGCGAGGGCCTCTATTCTTCCCACAATGCAACGAGGGCTGCCAGTGAGAGGGAGAGAGTGATCATGGCGGATGATAAGGTTCCAGAAAGGTTCGAGTTGCTAGAGCAAACAATTGAACAGTTTGTAGAAACAACACGTCAAATAGGAATCATTGTCAGTGATTTTCAACCTGGAAGCCAAGGTGTTCTTAATCAGAAAATGTAAGCGACCTATCTTCGAGCGTTCTATGTATAATTTCGGGATGGATACAAAACCGTGATCGCTTGAAATGAAAGCGAAAACTTGGATAAAATATATGCTGAAATATGAATGTTCGTCTCCTTCTGTAAATTTTAACATTGGGATTTCGTCAGTCGCCTTAAGGAGTGCTAATTTATCATGAGTCATCTTGCCAAACAGCAGATCGGAATTTATAATTAGACACAGATGCCTTCTTCAATTCCAGTGGCCTATCCACGTCTTACTAGTTTAAACTGTTTTTTGTTTTGTTTCAGAAACTCGATGATAGACAACATGAGGGAAATAGAGAAATGTAAAGCACATGTTCAAGATGTAGAGGTTCCGCTGGAAGTATTTGAGTGAGTGCATTGCTGTTGATTTCCATGTAAACTTATCATTACAACTGGTCATTATAACCGAGACCAAGCAATCATTAAAAGTCAAGTATGCCACGAACATTATACTATTTTTATCCGCAGCATTACAAAAGAATGCATAGAAACATTTTCACTGCGTTTTGAGGTTGCAAAGTGTAACATAACTGTTAAAAAAATTGTATTAAACCGTATTTCCTGAAGTAAGTGCCCAGGCGCTAGTCAAAATTTCGGCTCAAAAGAGGGGTGCTTATTGGAAGGAGGACGCTTAATCAAGGGAGCGCTTGTTAAAATTTTCCTTTCAATGAAATGAAACTTTATTTTGGCCTCGAAAAACTACAAAATTGTCCACGTAGATGTCGTGTTCAGATCGAGCTATCATTCATCACAGAGCTTTCAATAAGACCCCGGCGCTCGCCAGAGTTCTGGGGATATTCTGTTGTAAATCACTGGGTATACTTGGCCACATCTAGTTGAAGCTCAATTGTTTATGATCTTGTGTTAAACATGAGCTGTTGGAACAGTTAGAATTCATTGGCTGAATGATTTCATTCAATTATCTTATGTGAACATTAGTGGCTGATGCATTAGTGATGAAACACTTCTGCAAATGAGAATACTCCAAGGGTTTTTCCAATAAATAAAACCTATGGAGTTCATTGCTGTATATCTTTAATTTCACTCAATCACAAAATATGCATTCTGTATTTCAAGGCAGAAGACACAGAGGGGGCATTTCAAATTAAAGCAGAAGAAGACTCTGTTAACAAAGATCATGGCATTAGAATGCAAATAGTTAAAGAAACTGTGAGTCGAAAAGTGATGTACAAATGGAAGACAATAGAATTTGGCTTGGCCAGGTGAAGAAAGGTTTAGATCACAACATCAAAATTTAAGAAAATGTGTACACAGAAATTTGACAGACACAATACGTTATCTTGTATTGTTTTTGTAGACTGCCTTTTGCAAGTGTTTAGTCTGTTTAGAATTATATGATGTTGGATGGTTACCCTCATTTTGGCTCCTTCTGTGACTTTTTGGAAGCTTTCAAGTAAACACCTCAAGAGCTTTTCAAGTTCATTCAGTTGACTTTTGCCTTTATAAACAAGTTTTGATAAAAATTGATTGATATTGTCTTATCATATACCACATTTTCAGCAAAAGAAGAGATTTGGCTTTCCAAGAACATACTGACTCAAATTTTGGTCACCAGTAACCATATGTCTCTGCAGAGGACTTTTGTGTGAAACCCCTGCAGCAGGTTTCCATGTCAGCAAATGAAAGATTTTGATTAGAAATAAAACAATCGGTCAAACAATTGTTACAAAGAGACAAATATTTATGATCATTTGCCAAAGTTTAACACCAAAAACTCTGTTTGAAGCCAGTCTATGTGGAATAGAATTAATGGCTTATGGAAGGGAAATCACTTTTCAAAGTATTCTCAACAAATGCTTTACTGAGGTAGCCACCTGTTTCAAATCTTATCAAAAGCACTGCGTCATCAACTGTTTTCTACAAAACCATCCCAATAAATCTATTATCTTATAAATTACTGGTCCTGGAGGACAAGGAAATAGTCTAGCTGTTCCTGGTTAATTTATGGTATTAACTGAACAGGGTAATAGGAAAAAAAATTAAAGGACAGATAACGCACATAAAGGAACTCTGTAAGCATTAGGAGATAAAAATAATTGAAAGAGAAAGTATTCTCCTTTGCTGATTTTGCTGTAATTGAAACAGAAAAAAAGTCAGATTAAGTGGCAATAGAACTGTTTTCCTCATACTCCCACTATCTACATATAAGATAGTGACTAAGGAGGAGGGGGGATACTTATTCTAGAAGGGGGAGTTTGATGTTATAGCATATAGGGTTGGGCACTTATCAGTGGAAGTACAGTATGTTTGGAGCCCAGTGCTCCGTTCATAGGCTGATAAACCAGCAATTCATTTTTTTTTTAGATACTGGAGCTCATTATACCTTTGATTCAAACTTAGTGAACCGTGGTGCCATATTTTCTGATAATAGGTACATAGATCAGGGAAGAAATCCTCAGCTGTATACTAAAGACTGTCTTGAGAAAGCACTAGAAAAAAATCAGCAAGTGAATGGCAAAATAGATGCTTACAAGGTGAGTTTTCCTTTCCTGATAATCTTTGTGGGTTATCAACAGCAAGTTAATAATGGTTGGGAAACTTTTGTAGCAAAAACAAATTGGCACCATGTAAAAACACTATAAATGAGCTTCAGAGGAAAGGAGGACTACAGGGAAGGCTACTTTGCCGGAATATTCTGAACTGAGGTGAAATTCTTTGAAATTCTGAAAGATATGTGAGGAAAATGCAGTTCACCTGACTTAACACGAGAAAGGTTAAAAGCATTGCAGAAAACCTCTTCCATTTTACTAAATTTAAGTTACAATTTTTCTCTTCCTCTTGTATTCATGCATGGCGTTCATGATTTCACAAATTGGCCAATCACATCAAAGGAATTTAACCTTGACATTTTTCATGTATTTTTAGTTTGTTTTCATGGAGTTTAAGTTGTTTTTTAGCTTCTGTTTGCGTAAATTTGTCACTGCTTTGTTTGGAATTTAAAGAAGTTTCAGAGTTTTTAATTTAGTCAAATGTTGAGGTTCATTTAATAAATTTAATACATAGTCTTTGAAAGCATCATGGGAAGATTACCTCTGAGTTTCACTCACTGTCAATGCTTGTTTTCAACAAAACTACCATGCACTGCATTGTAAGCATTTACTGAAACCATATGCTTGTTTTGTTGTGTACCACTATTGGAGTAAATGATGATGACTTTTTCCCCATTTAAACAGAACTTCAAGTCACTTCTTGTTGACGAACTTTCAAAGCATTTTCCCAAGGAAATTGATGAATACCAGAACATCAAAGAGCGGCAGATGAAGACATGATTCTGGATGGAGATTCTATTTTATTAGAATGTAACCAGTTTGTAAATAATTATGTAAATAAAATCCTGGTTGGCAGCTAAACCTTCTCTGTCTCTATGGCCTATATGCTTGTCAAGGCTGTTTACTAGTTTGGAGCCCATCGGCAAAGAAAGGTCTTTTAAAGTTTTTTTGACCACAAGTCATGCCTGTCACAAGCTCCCCCACCCCAACATTTAGATGTCTGCAAGGGAGGATCAAATCATGACAGCTCTACAATTAAAAGGTTTACACCCACATGTGATTCCTGTCACATTCCTTGATGCAGTTATTGTGCAGCTTCTTCAATTAAAAATTTTTATTCCCAACTAGAGATTTCAATATAAATTTTATCAAGATAACTATTTCAGACAACTTCATTGTTACTGTTGATAGAAAAGCTGCTCTGTATGTATCCTACAACAACAAGCACATTTCCTTTATTACTTAACAACATTCTTTGCCAGGGGGGTGATGTAATGCATCATGGTGTTTTGAAGACATTTAGAAACAAAATAATGCATCCATCAAAAATGCTAAAAGACAGACACTATAGTTGCTAGCCTCATAAAGTACCATTTTAATCTATGCAAGATGAATTAACATTAAAGAGATGTCTTGACAGGGTTTTTGTTCATAATGTCAGCTGGCTGAGGGAACCACTCAAAGTTGTAGAGTGACAATTATTTTCTTCAAAATGAGGAAGAAGTACCCTTAAGAAGAGAAAGAAGTCCAGATAATACCCATAGAAAAGTGGTTGAGGCTCTCCATTCATTACATACAATTGGTACAGGAATCCATAAAGAGCAAGAAAAAGAAGTTCCAGACCAGACAGATTCAATACATTATCAACTTGCTTAATGTAACCAAATTATCCGGTTAATGAAATACCTGTATTAAATAAATTTAAGCAGTGTTGCTCTGATATCACAGAACACTAACACAGTTTGAAGCATGGTCAATATTCATAACTTCACTTAATTATTTTCAACTTATGGCAGAATAAGATTCTGTTGTTTGAGTCTCCTTCAAAGAGGCCTTCGATGTACAT